TCACTGCATTTATGTTTGTGTAATTTGCTTGCAATAATTTTGTCTGCAATGCTTTTGTTCTATGTTTGCATAGTGTTATCATCCTTTTTGTTGATGCCAAAAAGGGGAGAAATGAGTTTACAGTACACGTAGACAAGTAGCAATAATTTTTTTATGAATTTCCTATTGAGGGGGAGTCGACTACAAGTATTCATCAAGTATTGTTTTGTTTAGGGGGAGTCAACGAAGGATTCGACTACATCATGGAGGGAATCGACTAAACAGGGCAGTAAACTGCTTTTATATACGTTAGTTTGTCATCATCAAAAAGGGAAAAATTGCTAGATTTAGATTTGAATGATGAAAAGTAACATATTATTGTTTGCAGGATCACTTGAGATGTAAAGAAGGATGCGAGCAAGTCTATCAATAATGTACGAACAAAGACAAGAAAGGAAGGAGTAAAAGAAAGAATGTAAAGATCTGTCAACAGAAGCAAGAAAGGAATGCCCAAGATTAAAGCGATATGTAAAAGATACGACAACCTGGATAATGGAGTGTAAGGAAGGAAGGACCAAGATACCCTTGGATCAAGGAACAACTTAAGGACCAATTATAGGTGATCTTCTTTCAAGAAGGAAAAGACCAGCAATCATGGACCATCTATGGAAGCTCCACACTTATTCTTGGAATGAATCATAATATATTCAACTCCAATGATTAAATCCCCTGGGATCGCAAATCTCTTAACGGTCTGCCAAAAAAACGTCAAGTCAAAGTTCAAGTATATAATGCAGATTATCAAGGAAGAATCATATACTTTGATCATACCAACTTCGTACTCTTTGTTCTACTCTAAACAAGCATTGTAATCTCAGCAAAGCTTATTGTGTAATCATTAGAGAGAAGAAGAGAAAAACATTTGTGAGGCATTGTATCGAAAATATCACAAGTGTACTTAGATCCAAAAGTGAGTTGGTAATTGGAGATAACATCAACACAATTATACTAAATTATTCAAGGAGCTTTGAAGAGAACACCCTTGCAACCCAATAGAACTGGAAGGATACACATTGAATCCGAACCAGTCTTTAAATTCCTGCATTTTACTTCTATTTTCAGTTACATTCTATTTTTATTTTTAGTCGACTAATTAGTAAACTAGTCAACTACTTAGCATACAAAAAGAAAAATTGCCAATTCACCCTCTCTTGTGCTTTCACTATTTTCCAAGTTAAAGTGATGTGATAGTTTAACAAAATTTTGCACTTAAGGCATAACGCTGAAAAAGGAAAAATAAGAAGAAAAGAAAAGGACCGAAAGTAAGATGTACAGTGCAAAATGAAAATTCCCTCCATCATCCCGTTTATTTTATTATTTAAACAAAGACTCAGATGATGAGAAAAATGGATCTGCGATGTTCAAGTAAATGAACGGAGGCTTCCACGAAATGTACAAAACGAAAATCATAAATAAAAAAATAACTCACATACTAATACCAACTAACTATATAGAGAAGGAAGATTGTCGAGCAGTGCTTTAAAGAAAAAGAGGCTAAATTTCAGTCAACGGGATTTGTTGATTCATCTTTTGGTTTGGTTAAAGCTCAGAATCATGTCTGAAATCGTTAAAGAAGCTTGGACAAAATATCTAGCTCAACTGCAACTCCATCCTCTTAGAACCAAGGTCCTATTTTTTATTTTTTATTTTTGTATAATTTCATATTAACATGTCCGATCTTACCTTTCCTTTTTATTTCTTAATCCTCAATTTGAGTTTGTTTGATGTAAATTTGTATTTTTATTTTCACCATAGGCAATCACTGCTGGAGTTTTAGTTGGGAGCAGTGATGTAATTGCTCAGAAGATTTCTGGGGTCAAAAGGCTTCAAGTCAAAAGAATACTTCTTCTAATGGTATTTGTTTATTTCCTAATCTTGATTGGGAGATCATTGTGTAGGTTAATTATGGTGGTAATTTGATGGTTTTTGGTTGTCTGATCATTGATTTTTTCTCTGTTCTATTTGTTTATAATTTGCATATACAGCTCTACGGATTTGCATATTCAGGACCATTTGGGCATTTCCTGCATAAATTGATGGATGTGATTTTTCAAGGAAAGAAGGGTAATACAACAGTTGCTAAAAAGGTTAGATTTTTCTTTCAAAGTTCCAATTTATTTTTCAAGCTGAGTGTTCAGTTTGTAGAATCGAAAGATAGGCAGCTCAGCTTCTGTGTTTTGTGATAACTATTGGTCTAACTTTTATTTTTTGGAATGCAACTCTTATGCTTATGGTAATAAATAAGTTACTAATTACATTAATAGATTATGTTTTATCTTTTTAGGTTTTGTTGGAACAGTTGACCTCATCTCCTTGGAACAACTTCTTTTTTATGATGTACTATGGCTTGGTTGTTGAAGGTAACGGCCGATTCATATCCATTTTTTAGAAACTGAAAAACGATACTAACTGGAATACTGTATCTATCCGGCTTTTGTAAAAGCTAAGTAGACTAATAGTACCTTTAGGAGATAATTGATCTTTCTCTGCAGAGGCATGAAAAAATTGGCACTAGTTTAACATATATTTTTTAGAGGAAATGTCGCTTGGTTGGTGCTGTGGGGGTTGAAGTTTTTCTCTTAATGCTAACGTCTGACTAATTTAGCCCATACTTATTTGGAATGGTAGTAGAAAAAGTTAGTTTCTTGGAGGGGATAGCGAATGGACTTCCCTGAAGTCTAATGCTAGTCGCCTGCCACATTTTTGGTTCAAAGGTGATGAAACCAGAAACTTGGGGAGGGCATTTCTTAGTCGGAGTGTAGTCAAGCCGCTGGAGCAAAAGTCCTCTTGCTGACAAATTTATCATTTGTATTACTAGGCCAACAAGTTTTAGATGTTTCCTGAGTTCAATTAGGATAAGTTTTGTTCTTTATCTTAACTAGTACATTTGTATTTTTCAAAAGCTTAGCATGATTAATTGGATATAGACATGAAATGCAGCAGCGAATTTATTAGCTCCCAACATAACAAGTTTCGCTCACTTATTTACGGCACACCAATCGATTGTCCATACTGCAATTGATTTCCTTGGAATATCGCTGCACGACTGTTCTAAGATTAAAGCTTGCTTGTCAAAGTAAGCTGAATAAGAAAAAGGAAACAATAAATTCAGGGCCAAGTCAACCTTTTCTCCTTGTTATTCTTTATCCCAAAGTAGATGAAATTTCTGCCATTTTAGTGCTTTGTAGTGAACATACATATGCAATAGAGAATGTGTTGATCGGCTCTAGATCAATTTTCTTCCTTTTGTGTGTGACTACTTTGAGATCAGATCTTTATCTAACAAAGCATGAAACTAATTGAGATGAAATCCAGTGTATTGCAAGATTAAAGTCTTCTCTCTGTGACATCAAAAAACACATATTCCCCTCCCAGTGACTTCTTTTGACATTTTGTTGAATTATTTCTCTTTTTCCAAGTGTTTTCTTACCCTACATGCAGAGGTCATCTCCACCTTCCATTCCATGAGTACTTATGGAATTTCAAATATGTGACTGGAAAAAGAAAGAACTAAACTGCCGTTGTAATCGATATGCAACTGGAAATCATTAATAGTTTATGCAAAGTCAATCTTGTTTGTAGTATTCTGCCTTTTGTTTGTTAATATCTGAAAATGAGGTATCTTCCAGGAAATAAAAAAAAACAAATTTAAATCCGGAGATGAATACAAGAAAATCAACACTTGCGGAATGCATTTGTTCCCTTAAAAAGTAGTTTATGCATAGCAAGGATAAAAACCAGCTCATAACTGAAGCAGAAAAACAGTCATGGAATTGTCCATTCACACTGTCAATAATGTTGGTGTGCCTAACAAAAGCTAACTTGTTGTATCACAGGGAGGCCATGGGGTCTAGTCAAAAACAAGGTTCGAAAGGACTATCCCTCTATACAACTAACTGCATGGAAGGTAAATGAATTCATTAATTATCATATCTTTTTTCACAAGACAAAATGTGGTTGTCCTAGCAAATTTGTAAAACTAAAGGTGTGATTATATGCAGTTTTGGCCAATAGTTGGCTGGATCAACTACCAGTACATGCCCCTGCAGTTACGCGTTCTGTTCCACAACTTTATTGCTTCATGCTGGTCAGTATATTTTTCCCTCCCCTATTTGGTGGTTCTGATATGTTTCACCTTCAAGCAATGGAAGTTTTGCATTCTTTAGTAGTGGCGAAGCCAGAAATTTTCTCAAGGTGTTCAAACTTGAAATAAGTAAAAAAGTAATCCGACAAAGGGTGTTCAATACATGTTATGTACCTCTAAAATATAATATTTTATCTATATAAGCAGTGTAGTTTTCCAACAAAGAAGTGTGCCTTCACCCTTTTAATAATATTTTTCTCTCATATTATATTAGGGCAATTTTCTTGAACTTGAAGGCAAGATCAGTAACAGCTAAGAAGGACTAAAGCTGATGAGGATTCATATGTATTTCCTCCTCTTTGCCAGTAGTTAAGGTTTAAGTTTTAACTTTCACGGTCATATTAGTGATCTGTTCAGTAGATTCTTCAATTTCAAAGTTTTGACTTACTTTGATGAGACTACATTATGCTAAACTTTTCCTATGTTTCTTGTGAGAGAAGTTTGTTTGGAAATTAAACTGTTGTATTGCAGCATGATCATTTCATTCTGAACTTATTCAGAGTTATCAAAATTAAGGAATACGAATTGTATACTTGGGCCAAGACGTATACGAGTAAACTTTTCAGGAGGGTTTTTAGTTAACTGAATTTCTTTTGATTACACAAAGAGTACTTTGCACCCAATGCTCACACTGGATAGCCTATGAGCTGGTAACAATTTTCCTTGCAATGGCCCTTCATCTTACAATGCTCACACTGAACTGTGTTGTAGTTCCTGTCATTGTAGCCTCTTTTGGGCTTCTGCTGTGAATTTTTAGAGTCCATAAGGCAGTGATTTCGTTTCCCTCTCCAGAACTGACGAGACCTTGAGGAGAACGTTATCTTTGAGTTTCATCCTCTATGATCAAAGCATAGGCTTGGTTCAGAGTAGGCTCAGTGGTCTTCATCAATATCTGCCTCCTAGCTTGAGCATAGGAATCATTTAATCCTCCTAGAAATTGAAGCAATCTCTGTTGGTGAAGATGTTCAACATAGTCTTTAGATTTCTCACATCCACAACTAGGAGTAGGAGCCATAGCATCAAATTCATACTAAAGTTCCTTCAATTTTGTGAAGTAGACTGAAACAGAATCAGTTCCCTGCGAGACCGTTGCAATCGCACGATGCAACTGATAGATTCTCATACGATTGACCTTATCAAATCGCTCTTGTAAATCCTTCCAAACCAGATGTGCATTGGAAGCATAAACTACTCCACTCAACAGATGTGGAGATACTGTGTTCATGATCCAAGAGAGAACAATTGCATTGCATGTCTCCCAATCCTCGTGCAATGCAACAGGAAATGACTCCTTAACACATGCACCAGTAACAAACCCTAGCTTTCGCTTGGCTTGAAGCGCAATTCTCATCGATCTTCTCCATAGCCCATAATTCTCGGATCCTTTGAGCTGAACGGAATTAAAACTGAGCTTGGAGTGTTCGATGGATGTACAAACATAGGATGTGTATGGTCTATCTTAATGGCTGCCATTGTTGTCGATGAAGAATCCCCCATTGTTCGAGCTAACTGAACGAAGATCAGAAATCGGCCTAACAACTACAGAGAAGAAGGGACAGTTGACTTACAGTCACGAAAATGTGATGTGCGCAATCAATTTGCTGCCATAGCTCTGATACCATGTTGAGATTTAGCCATGGAAGTTTCTAGATTGAAGGAGAAGAAGAGAATGGAGAAGAAGCAGAGCAGTTCTATTATTTTTCACTAACTGTTATGAGTTGTACAACTGTATTTATAGACACTAACTTCTATTAACTAACAATTAGCTACATAATTAACTGTAATTATCACTAATTCATTTCCTAACTAACCCACGTCATCATTCCTCTTAACAGCTACCGACCGAAAAGACTGGAATACGGAACATACGCTATTAAATTGAATACCCATAAAAATACATGCAGTAGTATTATGTATACTAGATTTCGAAATTTGATTTTTGAGATAATTTAGCAAACAAAGCCAGACATTCAATATGAAATAGACGATTTGCTGCATTAAGGCGTATAAAATTATTTAAAGGACTTCTATTAGAAGTCATTTTAAAAGTAGTAATCTATACTATATTAAAAGCACGAAAGCCCTATCAAAATGTCGTTCGCCTTTTTTACCCTTCGTAAATGCATTATATGTTGGATACAATTGTAATTGTAATAACTATTTTTTTTTTTGGGAGAAAAAATAACATTGCCGTGTACTTGCTTAGAGTTTATAATTGTTTGGGATTCTTTTGTTTTTGTTTCCTTTAGCTTTAGGATTCTTAAAATTCTTTTTTTCTAAATTATGGTATTTTTTTTCGTTGTCCCCTTTTGTGTTGGTCTACCGTCTATTGTCCCTTTTGTGTCTGTTTAGAATTCAATTTACATTGTCTCTTTGGTGTAGGTCTAGGATTCAATTTAGTCTCAATTTACTGATCGTATGTTTAGGATTTTTAAATTACCGGTTAATACTTTGTGTCTTCACTTTGTTTAGGTTTTAGATTCACTTTAGGTTTCTAGAATTTTAGAATCAAACAATCTAGAATAAGGAGAACCTGGCATTTTTTTTAAATATAAGTAGTCATTATTTTATATTCTTTATCATAAGATGTTTATAATATCGATGTCTGCATAAGAAATTAGTTTGTGATTTGATATAAATTTTTTAACTTGTACTATTTTGTTGAAGTTTTATAATAATGGTTGTTCGTGCCTTATCACTATTAGTTGAATGATTGTATCAAACCAATCAATTTTTTTAAGATTTTCTCCTCTATTCTATTCCAATTTGCCGTTATAAATAGCTACATGATTGTTCCTCAAATCTTCTCCTTTTTTTTTTTTGAGCGAAAAATCTTCTCCTTTTGATACACAATTTTTTTTATAGAATTGTTGCTTGATAATTTACTTTGCCTTAAAAACAAAGTGATTTTGTTCTTTAGTGTCTAAACATATATATTTGTTCGTGCATTATTGATAATTGATAAACAACTCTACTCGAAAGTTTGTCAATTGTAATTTTTATTTATAATGTCTCATATATGATTATTGGTTAGTGTCTCATATCTGGTATAAAATTGACTCATTTATGAATCTTGTGCAGGTTATTTGGCTAGGTGTATTCATCACGTAAAATTGGTTTGGCATTCTAACTCGTATCAATTAATATTTTATTAATCTAAAATTATTTTCTCTCTATAGATAGTTTTAATTACTAATTGTTATGCCAGCTCAAGTAATTCATATTTTGTAAGGAAAAATTAAATTTGATTACCTCTTTTAATTAGCTATATTATACATATCATAATTTTAAGATTTTGTTATTAAAGAAGTCCTTGGCAATTGGCGTCATTGCACCTAACCAAAATTTGATAGTTTTTATTAGTTCAAGTAAACAATTCTTCTTATCGATCTTATAAATAATATTTTATACAATTTCTTTATTATGATGTAATTTATTATGTTCTGAAAGTTATATAGCTTTACTGCAGTTCAACTATGATTTTTCTTTTACCATTTGAGCTTTGAGATTGAGGTATTCTGTAATATTGAATTACATAAACTATATGCTAATTTAACTGCTTTAGTTTTATATGATATTTATGATACTATTGGAAAGTTGGTTTTACTATACGTAAAAATTATGCCTGATAAATGAAATGTGTTCTTGCATATATGTCATAAAAAGCATATTAATCCTTAACTTTGAGGTGTGTTTTTGTATGTCATAAAAAGCATATCAATCCTCAAATTTAATAGTAACGCATTCTGGTTGGATTAAAATACATTAGTGCATTAGCAATCTGTATTATTGGTCCAAGTATCTAAATCTTCTTTTAGATAAATTTTTTAATATTTTGATTGACTTTGATGATTTACTGCCTTTTTCGTATTAAACCACTTGTGTGCATTTGATTTCAGGTACTCACAATGGTAACTGAAATTGAATTTACGAATGAATGTGCTACTTAACAGTTTGAGCAAATTTAATTCTCAAAGGGTAATAAAAGTCTTACTTATTAATTATGGAGTAGTTAAAGAATTTAAAAATGCAACAAATCAAGGCCTTAGATAGATTCTGACATATCTATATGAGGAGGTAATGTTATTTTCATTTTTGTATTATATTCAATATTTTTCACATTATATTTAGTCATGATATTGAATTATAGTAAAACTCCTTAAGGCAATATCAGTTACATCATAAACTTACCGCATAAATGATCGTAATCTCTAATTTTCAATCAGTGTACAAAAAATTTTAAGATTGTGTTCAATAATAATACTATAGTCAAAAAATGCAACAATCAATTTTTCACTGATAGCTTTTTCAAACAGTTTCGTTTCGTTCGAAGAGATAGTCAAACCAATGGAACAATATTTGGTAATTTCTTCATATTTCATTAATTAATCTTACATTATGAATACTATTCTATTCGTATTTGCTATATAATTCTTAGTAGTAATTATTTACATTATTAGCAAAATAGAAGCAACAATTATCAGTTTCATATTTTTATAATTTTTTCGCTAACTTTTATTTTGTAACTCAAATATAAATATTAAAATAATATTATGTAATCCTTTAAAAAAATCCTTGAGTCGAGGTGGCGTATCCTGAAACTAGTAATAATAAAAGCACCTCTTTGGTTCAGTCAGCCGAAAGTTTAGCTCATTAGTATTATGAGGAGTAGGTCGGAATTATTTTTTCTTACATTAATTAGATACAGTGGCTTTTATATAATTTCTACCAACCGTGTGAAACAAAAATTTGAAATAACATTATCTTTAAGTAAAGTTGGCTTAATTTTCATGTTCAAGTTCATTTGTGGTTTTACTCTAAACATATCCGCAATAATTAAGAACAAATTTGCATTTTACAAATACAAATTCTCGTCAAAGTGGACTGGTAGAATCAACCCAAGCATTAGACTTGTACACATATTTTTGTACCAAGAGGCTCTTGATTCTTACCTTTACCTCCACTCATGAGGAACATAGTTAATTAATTGATGTTGCACTGCCAATTTACACCACATCAGGGTGCATCAATTTCTCCATCTTTAGAGCAGTTATTTAGAAAGCCACAGCAAAAATGTAACAATCTTCAAGCAATTTTCCTCTCTTTCTTAGTCGTTTTGTTTCATCTTATATGGCCGTGCTTGATGGAATAAAATGAAGTTTGAAAAAGAAAAACAAGATTTTTGGCACATACCAAAATAACTTGTGGTCCTAAGCATATTATATCACAATATTTTATAACTAGAACATACTAAAAAGAATAATAAAAGTGACAGAAAATGCATGGAACGGCGCGTGATTAGTATTTTAAAAATGGCGATTGTCCTTTTTTTTTTAGAACAAAAAGGTTGAAGGCTTGTAGTTGAGAGCTAAAAACGCTAGGGGAAAACAAGAATACAAGAACTATCAAGAAAACAGAAAAGAGTATTAATTTTAAAGAGACACTGCGGCTGATTCAATGTGTCACAACATTCAATAAGGCAATAAGTCCTCACTGTCCTCTATATCTGTCTAGCACCTAGACTAGACTAGATACTCAAATAAATACATACAATTCTAAGAGAGTAAATTAATTTCAACTCCCAATTATTGAGCCAACAGAAGTAAAATTCAGCTCCCAATTGGGCCAGCAGAAGTCTTGTCATTCAAAATTCTGGAGAAATTATCAGAGCGAAATTTTGGTAATTAATGCCTTTAAGAATGAACTTTAAAGACAATTGAATAATAGCAATGAGAAAAAAGAGAGGAAACAGATAGTACCTTCATTGGAAAAAGCTGGATAATAAATTAAATTTTTTAAATCAGCGGAAAAGAAATTAAAAAAACTACGTACAGGATAATATATACTCCCTCCGGTCCACAATAAGTGACCAATTTGCTTTTAGAAAAATCCTTTTGGCCACACCATTTTTGGCCAGATTGACCCAAATGGGGTCATTAAGGTAATTTTATGCCCCAATTAGGGTTTCAGGCGAATCTTTATACCGATAATACCCTTTTAGTTAGGTTTGAATATTTCTCTCCCACCCATTTAATAGTTGTCTTCTCAATGCATGGAAGATCTTAAAGGCAGAGGCGGATCCAGGATTTAAAGTATATGGGTTCCTGTCATATTCTCAAATTAATATACAATAATAACTGGGTTCACAGTTATATATTTATAAATATTTAGTGAATTTTTAATAGAAATACAGGGTCTACGCAAAAGCTACTGGGTTCCCGGGAACCCGGTAACTGGACTCTAGATCCGCCACTGCTTAAAGGTTGCAAACCCTATTTCCCATAAACCTTTTTCTTTTTTTTTTTTTTTACATATTTTCAGCCTTTTTTTATGTCGTATACACATATATAT